ATAATATTGAAGAGGCATTAGAAATTATAATTTTAGAAGGTTTAGATGACGATTATATTAAATATTTAATATTAAAAAACTTCGAACAGATACGAATGTCGGCGAGCGCAGCCGAAAGCTATAAAGTCGCCACTACCTGCTGCCCTTAAACATCCACAATTAAGAACAGGCACAATCTTTAATAAACAAACATAAACAATCTGCGCATGCTTACATGTCAAAATAAGAACGGCACTAATAGTAACTGACCTAAAAATTTGCAATAACTTAACGTTTAATTACCTTTGTAAATCAATTATATTTAATTTTGACTAGCTCTTAGATATTTTATACCAAACAATGACCTTAATTCAATCAAAAAAACAAATAAGCAGATGAGACTAGTTTTCTCAGTCGTGAATTCAGGTTTTTCTAATAGACACTTTTGGGGAAATATTTTTCAGGATAGAAGGGCGCCAATAACTCTTTTTTATTTTTTAAAAAGCTAGTTGAGAATTATAAATGTTAGCTTTACCAAAAGGACAAAATTAACTGATTAGTTCAGAATTATATGTAATTTCGGTAAAAAGAGAATTGTTGAAACGATTAAAAATAAGATTTAACAAGAAAATAAATAAATTTGTTTATTTTTAAATTGTGGAAATGCATAATAGACTTTTACAAAAATAAAAATCTCAAAATGCACATGGACATCGAAATTCGCACAAAAACAAGCGATCTCATATGCTGGAAAAAACACAAAATATTGTCAGATTTAGATATTATACTCTGACTTGGACCATCGTGCGATAATTTTAATATTTGGCCTCGGCGATTTACTTATAGCGATAATATTAGCTACACTGAACCTGATTTCTCCTGTAATCGTAGTTCTCACAATATTCCAAATTTGACCCAAAGAGCCAACCTCTTGATTCCAAGATATATGTATATAGATATCTGTCTTAAAGAAAAATAGGTAGTCTATTTCACACCCCTAGAAATTCTACAAAAAAAGAATAATAAAGTTAATTTTTAAATTAGATTGGTACTAACCAATACCCAACTGAACAATTATTTAATTATTTCAAAATATTAAACATCATGATCATTATTGTAAACAATTCGTTCCTATCCTGCGTGTGCTTGGCCGTATTTAAAACTGACCTGATGGGCTTTAAGGCAATTAACAAGAATAAATGCATTGCAAGTAAGACAGAGATATTATAGCATACACCTAGCTCTGAAGTTGAAAAGAGACAAGTAATTGTCGACGGCCCTTGACCCAAAATGCAATATATCAAACAGTTCGGCTTAAAATTGTTTACGTTAGATATTGTGGAATGTGCAATCGTGTAGTGTAGTTATTATCAAATATTTACCAATGGCTGCTATTGTTACTGTGCGAGAAATACTTCAGTGTAAAATAAGCGGCACATTGACTTTTGAAAAATGTTTAGAAAGAAAAATGACGTACAAAACCTTTTCTAAATCTTAAACAAACTACAAAAGACATAGGGAAAGAAATTAACAGGTATTTTAAGACAACTATTTACAACATTTCTGACTGGATTTGTGAATGCAATGTAAAGAACCCTTCTTTTTTTTCCTTGTAGTTTGTTTTGTACTGATTCGTTATGGCCTAAAACTGGCTGTACTGACATTAAACATTTAATAGAATATTCTTATTCTACTTTACATATGAACAATACTCTGAATTTCGGTAGCTTTGACGCGTTGCTACTCGTAAATCTATAAAAGACCATAATGATAAGGTAACGCAAAATAGGTACATTTTAAGCAAAATTATTGACTGTGTAAAGTTATGTGATTCATTTGAACTGAATCAGAGTTATCAGAAAATCCTGGAATCTTTCGTGGATTAATATATTTTGTTTCGGAACTAGACAGTATTTTTAAAGAACATTTGAAAAATACAGTATTTAAAGGAGTTTCCAAAACAATACATAACGAATTGTTAGTCTAGTTTAGCGGTTACACAGAAAAAATTAAAGAGCGAAGTTGATCGCTCTAGGTTTGTGGCTATTCCAGCTGATGAAACTACAGACTGATCAAATAAAACACAACTGGTTTTTATAGTTATTATAGTCCAGTACGTATTGAATGGAAATATTCATGAGAGAATTTGGAAATTTATTGGACCTATAGGTACTATAACGCAGGCGTTGTCAAATGAAATACATGCAGAATTTTAAGAGATAAAAATTAATGAAAACCCCCAAAAACTTATCGCACAATGTTATGATGGTGCCTCAGTAATGAGTGAAAATATTGGAGGCGTCCAAAAAAATATTAAAACAAAATATCCATCAGCACACATTGTGCGCACCAATTAAACCTTGCACTTCAAAAAGCCGCTAGTCAGCAAAAATAAATAAGAATATTTTTTGCCAACTTACATGCATTTTCATCTTCTTTTTTTTAGGAAATTTTCCTAAAATAACATCAGTGTTGGATCGAGTACCAGATGGTATTTTAATAGTAAATTTATTGAAACTGTCTACTCCTTGCCAGGCTTAGATGGTATCTCCTCTTTTCTTTAAAAATCTTGTGCTGACACTCTCTGTTATCCTATTTCCAGTGTAATGACATCCTCCTTTAATTCTCACATCCTGCCATCTATATGGAAGACTGCGCCAGTGACTGCCATACTCAAAAAGAGCAATATGCTTGATCCAAATAACTATAGACCGATAAGCCTTTTGTACCAATAGTTTGTAAAGTAATGGAGTCTATAATATGTGATAAGGTAACTGATTTTCTCATAAACTAACGTGTACTTCCCACCCAACATGGATTTATCAGAAGACGATTTACCTTAACTAATCTCCTGCAGTCTGTCAATGACTGGACAAAAGCCGAAGAAGCTGGTCTTCCTACAGATGTTATACACTTGGATTTTGCTAAAGCCTTTGGTAGAGTTCCAAAGTACTGACTTCTCAAAAAGATTGAACACCTGGGAATCCGAGGCAACTTAATAGATTGGGTAACGAACTTCTTAACCTTCAGACAATTTCGCGTAAGAGTTGGTAATAGTTTCTCTCAAACCAAATCTGTCGTCAGTGGAGTGCCTCAATAATAATAATAATAATATACTCTCCCTAATTTACCCCCTTACGAGTGAATTTCAACCCCTGAAGTCGACTGAACGACTTGCGTAGGGGAAGGGACGGCTATTATTATTATTTGCCGTGGCGACTTAAAGATGATTGATGGTGCCATTTGACTTACAGATGGCGATTTTTTAATCTGCATGTCATATCAACAGAAATTGAATTTCTATTAATACGGCACACAACAAATCCTAAACCTAACCATGCAATTTAATTAAAAATCCACATGGTCTGGTCTGGGATTCGAAGCCCAGCAGTCTCAGACTCATAAACTTGCCTGTAAATGAATATAAGCGCGTTAGACCGCTACACTACCGACCGATCAGTCCTTGGTCCCCTACTTTTTCTACTATATACTGCCGATATTTCTGTGCATATAAAAAGCTGTTGCTCCTTCTACACAGACGATAAAAAATTTACGCTAATCCGATTGCGGACTATCAGTCTATTCAATCAGATCTAAATGCGATATCAAAGTGGAGTTCAGACTGGTTATTACCGCTAAACGTTTGCGTATAATATTAAAAATAAAGCCTTGAAGAGAGTATCGTCCCAAAATGATCTCGGCGTTATCTATTATTCTATAATACAAAAAATTCGAGATGGTATTATCTCTACAAAGCCAAATAGTAATTTCGGAGCAAGCTGTCGTTTTATTTTTACAGAACATTTAATAGTTTCACGTTTGTTTGATACAAACAATTGTGCTCATTTTAAAAATGAGTTTCCTGAAGACATTCTGAATTGGAAGTAAAATATAGTCGTGAAGATTTTTATAACATTGCCGTTGCCATTTTACAGCTGTTGTTAGTAAATGAACCTGGGTGAAACGTTTTCAGAGAGTGTAAAATGATTGGAGATTTATGTACTATTCCAATGAGTACAGTAGAAAGTGAACGGTGCTTTTCGACCCTAAAAATATTTAAAACTTTTCTAAGAAACACAATGGGAGAGGCAAGATTGGGAGTTTTAGCAATGTTAAGTATTGAAAAACCTTTAATTTAATTTTAATGAATTATGTAATCTATGCACATTTCTCCAACCAAAGGATCGATTTGATTTATAAACAATGAACGCATAAACTACACAAACGAGAACGAGTTGCACAGTGAAACGAATGCCATGAAGTTATCGTACTGAAGCGCGTCTGAGCGAAGCGTGTGCAGCATAACGAGCGAAGCGTAAACGAAACAAGAAAAACAAGCGAAACACCGGTGATTTCTTGTAACTACATAAAAGTTGAGTGATTTATCCTAGGAATTATCTAAATGTTAGGTATTATTTTTTATAATAATTGCCTAATAGATATCTCAAGGGATATGTCTTTTATTTGCTCTATTTAAAAGTAAACATAAAAAAATTAATAAAACTTAGTTTGTGTGTAACAATCCAAAAAATGATTGAGAGCCGTTCAGTAAGAATCGATATATACAATATTCCAGTAACTTCGTTACAGCAATCTAAGGTTGCAGCATTCTACCCATCGCCAGTGGCGTCACATAATCTATAATGTTATGTTATTTCATCTTTGATGTAGCAATTACTCGTTTTGTGTATATTTTCGTTTTTTAGACTCAGCGGGCCTAATGTTGGACATGCATGTTTTAAAATAAACTTTTCAGACAGCTTCATATATTTTAGAAAGGTCAGTATTAAAACAAACATATCTGTTTAATTAAAAATGGTACTCATTTATATTTACATCTTTTAAACAATCCTTGGGAACAGTTTTACAAGTCATTTAAAATAAATAAAAGAAAAAATAGTACATTTGAACTAAATTAGAAAAAATATTTACAAGTTAATTTGAGAAAAATAGGTACATAAATAAATTCCACTTAAAAAATTGTACTTAACAAAATACATCAAACAATATTAAGATTTCTGCTTTTAAACATCACAAAGTAAAAACAACACAAATTCACATAATAAAATTTAAAAATGTAAATGTTTGTATGCATATATCTCTCTCAATTAATAATATACTATTTAGAAAATGAATAAAGGGTACATTTCGGAAATAGAGTGCATGTCCGATTTTCCAAACATAAAATACATGTGGACGAACAAGAAACATAATTTAAAGCATATTATAATACAATTTTTGCCTAATTTGTAACTTTTATCAACAAACGTTACTACGAATCTGTTTTAAAACGGATTGGTTTTAAGTACCAAGGTAAAACTAAGGTGTTTTAACTCTCATTTAAAAAGAAATGTTCTCTAGTGTATTTACGGCAACCATGTTGTCAAAGGCGATGATTTTATCCGATTTTCGAGTATTCTTATCCAACTTATGAACTGTCATAAATGAATGCTTATAGCAAAGAGTAGAGATAACAAGAGATGACTGTCAGAGCGATAACGCTACAATTTAATCTAAAAGAACGCCATACACAATGGTTTGAGTATTTAAGTAGTATGTTGCCCACAGGTGATTCTATAACGTGTCAACTAGTATTAGTTCACGGAGCCTCTATGATTTCAATTGTTTAGTGCTAGGCCTATTTTATTAATAAAATTGAAAAATTGAATGTGATACATTTATAAAAAAAATTGTACGTCCATGTTACTAGAGATTCCAGACCGGATGAGTCAGGTTGGGTCAGGCAGGTTGTAGAATTTATAGTAAACTTTTATTCATGCAGAGTATTGCTGTTTCACTTACTTGCGATATGTATGACAAATATATTTTTAACGAGAGCGGTGTTATATCAGACAAAAATGAAATTTTTATGGTTGTATGTGTCTGTTCAATTAGGATTCCTTTTTTAATAATTTTCCAATACATCAGAAACAGTATTAAAACGCCAACTAACAATACAATTCCAAAAAAAAACACCGCATGGTTACAACAGAAAAAAAATAATGAAAAGCTAATTTAAAACCCAAACCTAATTTTGGGTCTCGACCTGATGAGAGCCTGAAAGTGGAAAAAAGTGACAACAGTCTTGAATGGGCGAACAAAAATCTAGAATTCCAGGACACATGACACCTATCCCAGGAGTTATAAATATAATGTGCTAATCGTAGTTAAGTACTGATAGTAAAACGTGACAATTCACAAAATTGATTTATTGAGAAAACATGGATCAAAGGCTCAAATAAAACTACTACAACTTTGTTAAAATGCGAAAACTTGATTTTTCGGCTAATGATGACATTTGTTGGAGAATATTTGATATGTGGTTTGTAAACTTATTACTTATTGTAAAGATACCCTTATTTTAAAAAGTGTGACGTCACGTTTTTACATAAAAGATGTTGATCCATTAATATAGAAAAATATATTAACTAAATAAAAAAAATATCGCGACGAATTGAGAACCTCCTTTTTTGAAGTCGGTTAAAAAGTACCAAAGAAGGCACAAAACAGAGTTCGAAAGCTTTACAAAACAGAAAGTAAAACGGTAAATGCGAGGAGAGAAACGAAATTGCTACAAATTCTTTCTCGAGTATGGTTTATGACATAAGATTAAACAGTCTCTTCCAATCCTCTTTTACATCTTACTAAAATCATACTTGTCAGGCAGGTATTTTAGGACTAAAGTAAACGATGTGAACGATAACACTTCGCAGATTCAACCATTTAAATCTGAAGTCCCACTCAGCCCTCCCAATATCTGATTATACTGCAAGACTTAAAAAAAGTGGAAAATAAAAATAAACTACAGTAGTGTAGGGGTCTATGGCGCATACATTATTTGCGAGCCAATTTTGTGGTAGAGACACACTGGGCTTCGAATCCTACCGTAGATCATGTGAATTTATTTGCATGGTTCTCTATAGGATTTGATGGATAATGTATTAGCAGATATTTAATTTCTGTTGATATGACATCTAGATTATAAAAATCGCCATGCGTTACCGTTTTCGATAATGGTGGGTGAAGTTTTCCTCACCTGTAAGTCAAATGACGCCCTCAATCATCTTTAAGTCTACACAAGTCGCTCAGTCGACTTCAGGAGTTGAAATTCACTCGTAAGTTGGTGAATTAGAGACATTATTATTATAAACGAAAGCAAATCACAACAGATAACATTCACATTAAGAGAAGAAAAATCCCATCCTATTTACACTAACAACATTTAATTTCCAATTGTCAAATATTTAGGAATCTATTTAGATACCAAAATCGTTTGGAAAGATTATATAAATTAAAAAATGTAAACAAATAGAACTGAAAATGAAAAATTTATATTGGATGCTAGACAGAAAATCTAAAATGCCAAAAGAAAATAATTTAATATATAAAGCAGAAATTATTTCAATCCCGCCATTATTACGGGGATATGCCAGCAAATCCAATATAGCTATTTTATAAAGAGCATAGTCAAGGATTTTGTGAACAATAGTAGACGCTCCCTGATATATATCTAACCAGATGATACATCAAGACCGGCATATTGCAACAGTTCAAGAGGCAATTCAGTAAAGAATACAAAAGCACCACCAAAGATTGGAATCACATACTAACCCACTACTCCAACCACAAATAAACAATAGAAGACTTAAGAGAAAATGGCTAATAGACCTAAAATAAGGTGGAAGAGGCTTAGACATTTCGCACCTTTAATCATAAAGTGACACAACTAAAAAGTGGTAGTTTCATAGAATTTTTTTTATATTTGGAGCTATCTTAGAATGTTTGAACTTTGAGAAAATTTACGAAGTATTACGAACAAATAAAATTTGTGAAAAGGTTAAGGAATATTTTAAAGATGTATGTGTTATTTAAAAGGAGGAAAAATGGTTTTATTGTTAGATAAAAAAAATTCAGTTACGTCACTTATTTTAAAATGGTTCTTTTTTGGATTATATTTAAAAAATATTTCATGTAACAAAGCAAAAAATGCCTCTTTAGAAGCAAATTTGCAAAAGATGCTATTTCAATCCATGTCACTGTTGGCACACAACTGAAATTATGTCGCTTTAGGTCTAAATCCGATAGAACTAAACTTTCACAAAAATAAATCTGCAATTCCTGACTGACTATTTCAACGTAGGTCGGAATTACCTCAATAGACAACACTATTTTGGGTCGTTTTATTACCGAAACTCAAAATCTTAAAATTTCGATTTGTGACACTTTATGATTGAAGTTGCGACTTATGGGATTTTAAAATTAGTCTCTACATCATCAAAATAACCCAACGAATTGTAAATATATAAATATATTTAAAAAATGTTCTCTCAGACCGTGGGAATCTTTCTCATCAAATGAAGCACAATTCCAAAAAGAGTGAGGACTGGTTACGAACTTTACGCCCTATAATTCAAACGAAAATATGCAATGGAATCATATTCCAATATGCCCATCAAGGAATTGGGACTTGAAATTCTAGGAACTGGTACTAAGGTAAGCTTTACATTCGATAATGTCACTATTATACACTGACTATCGAAATGAAAAATGGAATGGTCAAAAAACTAAATTTAATATTATTGCTGTGGTTATAATATTCAATGTAATTTTTCTTTGTACAAACTATAAAAGAGTGATTTGATAAATATACTCAAAACTCCAATTAAGTTACTGCTAGATAAAGTGAAATGGTTGTCAAGAAGAATTCAAAGAATTTTATTTAGCTACAGTATTTATATATTGTATTTTTTACTTGTTAAAATAAATTAGAGTTAAATGTAAGTGATTTTTTTTTGAAAGTGGGGTAATAATTGGTTAAAAGTAGAGGAATAACACATGGAAGGAAAGTAGAACAATAGGGAGAAGGGATAACAGCGTAGTTTAAATGATAAAACATTGGATATAAGAGGCAACTGTGGGTCAGATTGATATTTGGGAGTAACACTGTAGGTTAGGTTACTTGTACCCTGATCCATTTTCGCCATTTTTTTTTTTGAGAGTTGAAACACCTTATATTTACACCATGGTAACTACATACAAATTAAATTAATATTAACAGCTGTCAAATATATGTTGCTTTGGTAACTGTTGTGTAACTGAGAAATAATCAAATATTTTTTTAAAACGAAATTTTGAATCAAGAAATTTGTACTATATAATTAGACAATGATAATTTCTTTCACTTCACACACAAAAAAAATCGGCGATGGTCTATCTCTGAAATGTAAAAAACAGGCCTACCTTTTAAAATTGTGACTATTATATTCTTATTTTATGTTCAATTATTAAACCAGACCTGTAGGTTCCTTAGAAGAAAAAAAAAACACTAGATATTTCTCATTTTTGTAACAGTGTTGAAAAAATTCGAGGATGTAGAAAAAAAAATGATAAACCAGGTCCTTTCTATGTTATCATTAAATCCATATATTCACAAACGCTATGAGTAATTTCAAGTCCAACAATATTAAATTAAAAAAAACTACGAGGTCAACCTATAGCTCAAGTCCATGCCAATGGATTCGTAAAAGGCGGGTGGTTTTTCAGGGTTGGAATCATCGACCGGCGGGGGTTTATCACACTCTTCCAAAAATTTTATCACTTTTTCCGTAGCTTTGACTGCACACACGCTTGATGCCTCCGTCTAAAACCATAAAAAGTCAGTAAGAATTTTATTTTGTAAATAAATAAACTGTTCTTCAAAAATTAAGTAATTTAGTTTAACACAAGAATATACTTTATAAAAAGTTGTAGATGAATTTTTCAAGAATCTTTTTTATTAACAAAATTGTCTTCGGTCATATAAACGCTAAATAAATAATACATATCCGGTACTACAGTAAACATGTTGTTCAATCATCTCGAGGATTTTTTGGGTAGTGTTGTTGGTTTTCCTATTAGTCGAGTAAATCCAGACCGCAAACTCGTTTAATTCTGGAAGAATAAAATGCGACGTAGAATCAAATAAAAACTATATGGTTGTGTTCCTTGTATTATTTTTTACATGCATCTTTGGTTCACGACATTTCCGATCTGTGCAGAACTTTTTTGTTTTAAAAAATGTAACGTTTTGCATTTTTATGAAATAGTTGGTTTTTAACAAATAGAACATCATATCTCAGAAAATAGTTAAGGCATCGATTTTATTTTTTTAAAATTGAAGTAGAAATTGAGCGCCTCTAACAGTTCTAAAATATTTTAAGATACCATAATAATTAAAATCTTCCATCTTACATTGTTCATGCAGAGTAAATTTCGACATGCGACACACTTTTTTATTTTTGAAAATATGTCGGTATATGCTGGGAATTAAATGAAGAGAAAGGTTCTGAAAAGTTTTTGGTGAAAGAATTATTGGCCTATGACTCATAGTTTGTATTTTATAAATTTTTTCCAGTATGAGTCTCGCTACGTGCGTCTTGACTTGTCTGGGCATTGAGTGCTGTTGCAATAATAATAGAAGGAAGTTAGTGGTAAGTAGTGTTGGTTAAATTTTTCGATTTGTATGTCTCTACTTACTAACCTAGTATCACAATGTTTATTTTCAATTCACTGTCTCATTTGGTGTGACACTATAGTGCATTTTGCAAAATTGGAAAGAAAACCTTTCTTCGTGTATTTCTCGAAAACTTCGACAATCTGAAGTATATCTGATATATTTTTCAAATCTGTCCTTAGAAAATACATATTATATCTATACAAAAATAAATCAGAACATCAAATGAATTACGACTTTGTTTTATCAAAAACGCGAATCGGCCAGCTGCTGAAATCCCACCTACAGACGATGCGTTTAAATTTGCAAATGTTTATATTACATAATATAATCGCATTAGATTTTTTTTCAGGTTTAGATGTATGTACCAATGGACTCATCCAGTGATTTTTTAAATATATTAATCTCATAATTTTGCCCTACCCTAACACAGTTGACCTGGTCCAACCATTCTGCGGCCTACCCTGTGGCTACAATTAAATGTTGCCGAGCTGGAATGAACTCATTATCTCCCCCCGAGTAGTACGTACTGAGTACCTCTCGTTTCCTGACCCCTCCTGGCAAACGTGTTGAGTTTACCGATTTCCTGATAGACGTGTTGAGTCTATATTCCTGATAGACGCGTTGAGTCTATTCTCCTGATAGACGTGTTGAGGCTATTTGCCAGTCACAGGCGCGTTTGAGTCTTCGACGTAAAGTCCGTACCCGATTAACATTTTATTTTCAGAAAGCCCGTGCGATACACCGTCGTTTCCTAGCAGAGGCACTTTACAGCGAACCATCTCGTCGAGAACCCAGCTGTTCGACACTCAACGAAGGGTCGTGTCTATTGGCCCGAGGGTCGTGAAGAAAACTAATTTATTTTAAATATATTTTATATTGTTACTTAAAGAGAGAATAAATACTTTTATTTTGAATCCTGTCTTCTGAATTACCCGGACCGCATTACAATGGAAACAAGCTTTATTTTGCAATGTTGCCATATCGATAAAACTAGCAACATTTAAAAAGACAGGTATCGATTGCAGGTTCTCTTGTACCGAGTACGGAGTACAAATATGAACGGCCTCTTGGTTGTGTTAACCAAAGAGATTATAACCTTACATTTCATCGTGTTGATTTATTGTATTGTATTTATTTTTGGAAACTGAGGTGCTCTGCTGGCTTTGTTCGAATCTACCAAAACACCCTGTATTTTTTAAAAAATACTAATTTTTTATATTTTAAGAACCTAAAAAACTGCTGACATCGTTCGAAGCAACTCCGGTTGCTTATTGTATTGTTTTTACCAACTTTAAAAAAAAAAGTAAAATGTATACCTGTATTTGATACGCCAAAATTACAAAATATCGCCCTAAAGTGCTTGACTTTTCCGCAGCTTGCGCTAGTATCGCTCTTGCTTCCCCTGCCATGACTTCGCACTGAGCGAATAGAGGTGGGTAATATAAAAATGAAGAGGGTCCACAAAACAATTTACCAAATTGTTGATTTAAATAATAAGTTCCTTTAAATTTTAATAAAAAATATATCATTGCAAATATGTAATAACGAAGATATGCAATAAACTTAACGTGTTTTACGATTAAAAGTAACTGATTTTTATATAGAATTGTTTTAGTTAGACATATCTTTCTTTGTCGCAATTTTCAATACACCTTTCCCGTTATTCGACAATTTCGCATTGCTCATGTGCGAAAAAAGTGCGGGACTTTTGAATCTAGTTCAAACAACTTATTGTCTATCTCTCTCTTATCATCACCCTAACTACAACTGTTGGGTTGGCTGCAACGTTTGCCCTGTCATCGTTGCTTTAAACAAATGTAATTCAGTCTCGGGAGGTGTCTTTTTATGTGATTTTTTGGCATATCCATAATAAGAGCTAAATCAAATTATAAAAACATAAACACCCACTATCAAACGCAAAAACACGTACTTTGCGGATGTGTAATTAACATTCAGAGTAGTAAACATAACAAAATTTTTTGGCAATTTTAAGAGAAAGTAGAAGTTGCATATGAGTAATAGAGACCATCAATAAAGGGATAGGTCTATTTAGAGGTTTCGTGATTGATTCGCAAATGAATATAATTATTTAAAATTAACTTTACGTCTAAACAATGATTATAATAAAAAATGTTATTCAAAGGTGTCAAATTTTGAAATTGGAAAAAATGGCATATTGAATATGAAATTAAAACAGCGTGAAGATTATTTATCTAGTGTTTATATGATTGAAAGAATAATTGTTAATTATAATCAGTAAATAATGAAAGCTTATACAACAATATAATCGGTATAACTTACTGATGCTGTCAAATTCATGAAATTGAAGAATTTTTTAAGTAATTCGACCATGTCTGCGAAGTTACTTCCTTTCAAAAACTGTCTAATAAATTGCTGCCATTCCGGGTGTTCCATAATGAGAAAACCGACCAACATGACGATATAGGAAGCCAGGAATGTAAACTCCATGTGAGTACCAGCCTTTTGTAACACTGAAAAAAATAAATAATATGTTATTAATAGATCATCCATTATTAAGTTTAAAAGCAATTTTCACTGCTATAATTCCTATTAAGCACAAGAGAAATTATTGTTGTCTGTATTACACTTCGGAATTAATTGCAAAGTGGGCGCCAACTTAACCCATTCGCTGCCTATCTGCGACAGAATACATACCCCAGAAGCCAATTAATGCTGCGTTTGTTTATCCACATCGGATGCATCTGATATAATGTAAATTTTTGATCACGTGATTAAAGATACGTAAAAGTAATAGGGTAGATGTGTCCGATGTGGATAAACAATATGTAAAAAATGCATCGGGCGTGGATATTCAAACACAGCATAAATAGAATTCAAATAAAGACTATTAGTCAAATCAGAGATATTAGTAGCTCAAGAGGGATGAGAGGTGTGGTGTGAGGTATGGAATGAATAAGGTGTAGGGTATTTTCGAACGACGGCGGAATTTCGAGTAAATTGCATTGGCGTACCACTAGAATAGAATAAATTAGATTTGTGTACTTTAAATCATTTTAATACCGTGAAAGATTTTGTGTTTTATAATTAATAGGTATATCAAGCAATAGAATAAATATTTTTTCTGCAGAATTTAAATTCGTCAAGTAAGTTTTTAATGTATCAACGATATATTAATGTAGAAGACATTAAAATGCACCTTTTTGCAGATATGATTTTGTACCAGTGCTGAAGCGGGTCGTACAAAATGGGTGGCACAAAAATTAATCAAAAAAATTTGATCTAATTGGAAATTCGATCTAAAATACATTTTATCGAATGACATTTGCAGTGGGATTTTCATCTTTCAATACGGCACATGTCGAGACGCCTATCTTCGTTCGACATAATGCGAATGTCTCTCTATTAACGTGTTGAGTTTGAACATAAGAATCCCTGTCCTGATCGAAAATATTTTATCGAATAACATTTAATCGAAAATATATTTTATTGAATAACATTTTATCGAAAAGACAACAGATCTAAAATTCGTTGGATCGAAATGACAAGATATCGAAAATCAACGACTGTGTCATGAAATAGAGCTAAATAAAATAGCGCCTAAACGAAATAACGTCAGTCAAAAAAGCGCATGTGTCTATCACAGGATGCTTTGCATTTTTTTACATAAAATTATAAAAAAAATAACTAATTTACCTAACCTGTGCGGCCTGAAGCCATCGCGGGTTGCTTCACAAAAAAATTATACATAAAATGGGAAAAATTAAACAAAAACAATAAACTAATTTACCTAACCTGTGCGGCCTGGAGTCTTAGCGGGTTGCTTCGCAATTTTTTTACATAAAATTATTAAAAAAAAAACTGAAATCAATTGACACATTTCATATTAATATGAATAGGATATGTGGAAATAATATGCAAATACCCGAACAATTAAATGTTTATAAATTTAACTTCTACATTACAAAATCCCAACTGAAATATGTCCGAACACCGTCAATGTTCCCCACGCATGACAAGATGCGCTTAAAATTAAATAAGGAACAATACATTACACCAATTTACCTAACCTGTGAAGCCCGGAGCCATAGCGGGTTGCTTCGTAAAAAGAATATACATAAACTGAGAAAATAATAAAAAAAAAAACACTTAACTGTGCGGCCTGGAGCCATTTAAATTTAATCGATCGCTCACTCACAGGTTAGGTAAATTAGTTGTCTTTTTTTATATTTGGTCTCAGAGTACAGAAGTACAGAGAGGACAGTAAACAATGTTTGTGTCACCTTGATAATATGGTCGAGAATCGCATTCAAAAGTTCTAATTAGAGATTGAGAGATTGATATCTCTATCTCTGTGTTTATTTATCGAGTGATTTTTAAACAAGTGCTTTTACTTAAATTCGTTCAAGTATGGTGGTATTAAAAGAGACTTTGGTTTGTAGGGTTTATTTTATACTAGGAAAAAACTTGTTTTATATGGTTTTAAACATAAAAGAAGAAGTGAGGTTATGTTTCACTCGTTAATATTATTTCTAGTGATGGGTCGCTTGGAAAAGTCCACTGACAAGTCCGACGGACTAGTCTGAAAAGTTGACTAGTCCAAACACTTTTCAAAAGTGGAAAAGTGTATTGCGCATGTCCGAAATTAAATTATCCAATTCGTCTGAATTTCTTACAAATAAAGGAAAAATATAATTAAAAAAAAAAAAAAGAAACGACAAATGTTTAATGACTTTTACAATGTTTTAACGATGTTTTCGAATTTTCGTTTCATATCTTATTAAAATAGACTGGTGAACATTATTGTCATAGTTTTTTTTAGGCAAATTATTTGTAAAATACTTCCAACCTTTGGATTTTTTGGTGATTTTTTTACAAAGGTAAAATATAGTTTAAAAAAGAAGAAACGACAAATTATTAACAGGTCGAAGTATTTTACAAATGATTTGCTCTAAAAAAATGAAAATACAAATATTGTATCCAAAGTGTTTTGGAAAAACATCCAAGGTGGAGATTTAACTGTGTGTCTTCTATGCCCAAGGTCGACTACTTTTCATTGTGACTTTGACTTTTCATTACTGTTCACTACTTTTCCGGACATGTCCATCGAACTAGTTCAAAAATTACTTTTCATGAAAAGCCCCATCACTAATTAAAATATTTTTTTCACAAAAAACTAAGAGGCGACACGTCATCAAACTTATAGAAAATATTAAGAATTACATATCCTTTCAAATTCCAGGCTCAAAATTTTTGCAAAATGTCGGCGTCTTAGCTAAAATCATCCCCTCCACGAAATTTCTATAATTTTTTTACAACAACTCACAGAAAATAATAATATAATGTAATATTCTTTCAAATTCTATGTTCAAAACTTAAGAAAAATATCGGCGTCAATGTGTAAACTCGTGCTCGTGGCATTTCAATGAAGCAATAATCTATTATTCATAAATTAACAATGAGGCAGACTACTACAAATTCATAATTTAAACTCTATTTTCCATTTTTTTTTTTTTAATAACTAGACTATTTTTTTTTTGGAAACTTTCATTATAGGTACTTACACAAGGTAATAAAGCCAAAAATTTTGCCGAATAACATTACCGAAATTTTAAGGCAACGCCTCAATTAAATTGTTTTAATAAAGAAAACCGAATTTTGGCACAAATTCGATTTTTACATAAGATTACTTTGAAATTTTTAGGAATATTCCTTGATTTCCGGGAACAATTTTAGAATTTCTCATCTTCTTCCGATTTGTTAAAGCTGATGAACAACCATGGTTGATTCAAAACAATAATACTATAATTATTTAAAAGAATGAGATATTTTTCATAATTGGTTTGTCTATAATAGGCAAACTCTAACCTATAAAAGACATATGAAACGATGAATTCGGGTCCAATTTGTTCTGTTTACAAATTTAATTTTGCACTGTTTTACCATGTTTTAAAGTCTGTATTATTACAAAGTAATAGAAAAGCATTTTTAAAAGAAAAGACGATGAACAATATTTGTAAATCCCAGTAACAGAGTAGTATAGCCCCCCCCCCCCCCCTACAAAATGCAAGCCATTTTGCCAAGTCCAGTAGAAAATTCTTGATATATCCACTTTAACAGTATTTTGGAATTTATTAACATTATTACATCTAATTTAGTTAAATTTGATATTCTGATTCAAATTTTTTTGGTTCCGTTGCAATAAAACAGGTTGAATTATTTCAAATAATTTTGTAAACAAAACGAGAATAATGAAATATTCATGACAACAGCAGATATTATAACTTCTGTGTCCCTTAGAATATGTCTTATTCACTTCATCAGGATATTTGTTTGTAGTTACAACTTTTGTTATCTCCGAGTCAAATTAAGAGCTCGGGAGCGATTGCCGCCCAACAAAAGTATCAAAACATGCGCTGGCGCGTCGATTGGCATTGAATGGGTTAAGTCACTAAACAGGTAAACTAACTTCTATTCAAATACACCTACACCTGATGTAAATCGAAATAATATGGTTTGTTTGACTGAAAAAAATTGTGTCCTTCGATATTTTTTTAAATCATAAATTTGACTGAACCAGAAGATGGAAAAATTGTCTATAGACACGTAGTGCTGTATTAATAAAAATAATCGACAGATCATACCAAAGATTTATTTGTTTTATACAAAATTCTACTATGGTCAGGAAATTATTCTTTTTATATCATAAAACATATCGAACTCTATAAATTTAATACGCCAAAACAATCGCTCACTCTGTATAGTAAGTAATACTGATACTAAGTTTTTTTTTTCACAAAGGACCGATCAAAAATATGTAACATTGTCATGTGGCTTTCCGTAATTCGTTTGATATATTAAACCATTTCGTTGGTGAACCTCATACATATTCCAAATTTTAACCAATCAAAAGAAAAGTATCTATTGCCCTATAAGACAAAGACCCGCAAAAAAGAATCTAAAAATGTTTTAGCGTCTCTTGTGTGTTTACTAATTCGATGAGAATTAAAATGTCAAACGTGATCAATGAAATAACAAAAAATTACATAATAATACGAATTGACACAATTTTCTTGGCAAGCAAAAAGAAAAAATGACTAATAAAATAGATAAACATTCTTACATTTTGCAACCGTTTCTTCTATAAATTCTTCATTAGATTTTGGAGTGGGAGCATCTTCACCATCTTTCTCGCCATCCAAAATGGCGTTCGTTTTGTCCTCAGCTATCATAGCGCATCCTTCCCAGTGGTAGAATTGTGCTATTAAAGCTTCTACCGCACTTTCTTCGCCTAAAAAAATGGAAAAATATATCAATTCACATAAATCATTTTATTTGCAATCTTCAACTTACGGGAATATATGCTCTCTAATTTTGGAGGTGCTTTTGCTGCCATAAGAAGCTTTTTATTGGAATCTTGATCTTGTATGAGATTTATTAATAACATAAGTACCTAAGAAAATATAATAATAGATTGGAGTTATAACTTATTTTGATGAACGTAGAATACTTACAAGAACTCCCAATTCGAATTTCTTTTGATCAGGAATGTAATTGGGCACTTGTAATAATAAATGAAGACTGGTTTCTATAATGCCCGCTCTGGTTCCAATCAGCTGACTACCAATAGCTAAAAATCATGATTAAAATTAAAATCTTTCAAATCGTAACGCATATTAACTAGCATGTACTGTTCTATATTTTGTTCTGTATAAACGAAATAACTTTAGAAAGATATTACTCACATTGGTTGTTAAAATGATGCGTTAAATTGATAAGAACTTTTAACGTAACCAAAAGTGCTTCCCTGATTATTGTGCCGGTGGAAGTTTTGTCGGTAATATCAGTGACCGGATAGAGAGGTATTTCGCCATCACAAAGTTTGTACAAGTTAACGAGAGTGTCCAAAATAGCACCTTCGCCATATTTGAGTATATAGTTTTGGTTTTCTTCATTATTATGCGTTACCTACAAAAAAAAAAAAATTAACCAACTAAAATTCACATCGAATTAATGTCAACTTACATTTTCCAAAACCCTCAAACATCGATCTACTTTTCTTAATTTATCTAATAAAGTATCTGTCCATGTGACTACGTAGTCGGAAACTTGTCGACAACATTCGTGAATTGTTTTCATGATATGTTCCAGCCCACCAAGTTCTCGAAGTTCCTCTTTGAACCATTCTCCCGCCCTTTTCGACGTCAAACTTAACAAAGTCTCCATAGCCAGTTGCCCCACCTTTAACAAAAATGGTTGGTTCATACTTATGTTATAGAGGAATGAAGAGAGATTAAATTAGAAGATGACGATATAATAGATGATGTGAATACTATTGTAAACTCCAATGCAGATAAGAATGATTAACATGAGTTATTTGCTACTACCTGATGAAGTCCCAATAATGGCGAAACTGGTCGTAGAATTATTAGCTAATTACATGAAAATAAGAGTGTTATGACTACAGAATCGATGGCGAACATGCATTATAGTTATTTTGAGTTGTAAAATAGAAATATGAAACCTTACCGTTATAGATTCAAGATTTAAATGCATGGCGTGTCCCTGGCTTTGGATTTCCGCACATATTTCCCTGACTTTGAGCTTGTTCTTCTCTAACTGCGCGGTACTAAGTCCGCAATCATCTAAGGCTTGTTGATAACTGACGTCAGATTCCAAAAGGTTCAACATGAGTTCTAGACAGTCCCGGTCTAGATCCATGTTCAGTCTGTCTTGACTTAGGACAAACATTACTGTAGCTGTACACAAACCTAAACTCTGAAAAATAGAACACATTAAATATTAACCAAAAGAGGTTATGGTTTTGTGCATGTAGGTAACATTAGCAGTAAAAAAATTTGTATTTAATGAAAATTTTATTTGAAAAAAATATTTGCAAAGCGTCTTCAGTCTTAAGGCCGCAGTAACAGACTCCAGTATTCGTAACAATAACTAATCATAATTATAATATTTCTTCATCCTTTAAGACATCAAAAATGTAGAGAAGAAGTCAAAGTTAAAATACTACAAAGATACAATAATATAAAACAAAAAAGGGACAGACAAGTATTAGACAAAATGATAGAAACCAGTAGCAACTTTTTTTCACAATTTTTATTTCTCTATTTTGATAGATGTCATGTATGTCATTGTTCAAAAATGACAGGCATTTTTTACAAGATACTTCAGTTACTCTCTTTATGATCCACCCCGTATAAATGATAGAGTAAACAAGAACAACAATATATTTTTTTATTCATCTGTACATTGCATTACGTAATTTAAAAATCTCACACAAAACAAAGATTAAAAATCATATTTCAATTACATAATAAGTTTAAATCAAACCAACCCTGGCAGATACACAAATGCAGTTTAACGTATTTTAAAGTTCCAAGAAAAACATTCTGTGGACATCTGCAGCATAATTACCAGCTCAAAATATAGTTTTCTCTCATTGAAAATTTTGAGTAATTAAATAAAAGTGCCAACTCTCTTTCACTCGCAGATCTGTGATGTAAGATGCAAAGTTTATAGTTAAAAAACCAGTTAGCAGAAGTAATTACTTTAATTTCAACATTCCAAGGCAAGTTAACCAGCAATTCACCACTAATATTCTACAAGTTTTCTACAATCATACAGTCCATACCCCCCTGTAACAGGAAGGAACCCTTTTTTGCTGATAGGAGGATATTATGACACCAAAAAGGATTGCCAAATTTAGTAAAATTGTACCGAGTAATAAAATAATATAATCATAGTTTTTGGATTTTATAATTTTAACACCGTATTTCGGAAACGAGACACATTTTATCAAAATATGCTTCATTTAGTTGTCTTATTTTTAATCAGAGAATCGTTAGTTGTTCTATATCCCATTCTTAACGCAACACCATGTATAATAGGTCCCTACGTAATGATACCAAGACCTTTGTCCTTTGACTGGACACAAAGACGAACGAATAAGAAAATATACCGTTATCCAGAATCTAAAACTATTATTTATCTGCTACCTGGAAAATATTTTTCAAGGTCAAGAATCTCGTTTGCCTATCGCACTGTGGTTCGGGGTGATGAAGTGTTATTATATTATAACAATTACTGTTTAACTACAGTGTTGCCATGTCGATTAGATATCCAAACTGGACTGAATAAATATTAAATATAATAATATAACAAAAGGAATTCTTAAATATGACACATAAATGACATCCATCAAAATTTGTTAATGTTACGAATATTGAAGTGTGCTACTTGGATGTATTTGTATTTAAACACTTTGTACCTAATTAATTAGTTTGAGAATAAATAAATGATTTATATATTAGTATATGTAAATATTCTAATTGGAAAATTTCGAACTCAAAATATTAAGATTTAATCCGAATTATTTAAATAAAATATAACTCCTTATAACTCTTCCAACTTGATCAGTCTCTCTTGTTCAATTTTTATTCATTTTTGTCAATTTTTAATAATTATTTTTATACTATAACCCTTCATTATATTTGTTTATACATTTTTTAATTTTATTGTAATAAGCAGTTTTTTTTTTAACTAAGTTAGTGGCACTGGATATAAACCAACAGGCCAGTCAATTGTCAGGTGAACAAATAAAAATATCATATAACAAACTTTATTATTTTACAAATTATAATAAAAGTTGCTCTACCTTAATAACTAAAAAAACCTGAACTTAATAAGGTTTAAATGTTTTGTTTATTTTTGTTTTTTTTTTATTTTTTTGTTTTTTGTTTTTTTTTTCTATTTTTTTCTTTTTTCTCATCTCTTTATTTTTTTTTCTTAACAATTTTTTCGAGTCGTACAAATTTTTTTATTGAATTTGTTTAAATAAAATTTACAGAAATTATAAAGATTTTAATAAAGAGTGTCTTATAGGATAACTTACTTGATTTTTTGGAGCATCGTGCAAGGCTTTAAAGAATTTGGCGACAGTACCGTGGGCTCTGACGTGCATCCTAAAGGCTGGTACCATACATTTGGAGGCCAAAGTTATTGCTGATAGACACCTAGTGCCAATTGGGTATTTATACTGCAGAGCGTCTAGGATATACTCTACATCGTCATTGAATTCTTGGAATTCGCCAATTTCCTGAATTTGGTGGGCTTTTTTGACATTTCGCACAACTGTGTAGTACTACAAATGTATAATTCTTAAGTATATATTATTACGTTTTTGGTATATTATGCATTCTATGATGTGAAATTGTGGAACAGGAATGGTATGTTTAATTACAAAAATCCAGAAACTAGCCTTTTCCGTGCGCGCGTGACAAGGCTTCATGCAATCGTGGGAAAATCGTTTCTGTATAAGTAGTAAACGATACTTTTCATCATAACACTTTGAAAACCGTAAGAAACTGATTATACGGAGTTTTCAAGACTGAACGTATACCTTAGAATCAGTTGAACAAAGATTAATAGGAACATGCACATAACAGGCAACGACCTCTGTCACCAAATATCTATAGGAAGGAATTTTATCTCCACTCAAGTAGACCTTGGTGTTTAATTATCTCTTATAGAAGTTAGAAAGTGAAAAACTATACACACAAGCATTTGCTGACAGTATAAGCATCTTAGTTAATGATAAAAGATGTATCCTAAAAGAGGGATTGTCCCCACATATAAACTCCTTAATTCCTTAATGGTTCCTTTTTCTTGTGAATGTAACAACAGAGGTTTTCGCCATCTACAAATGGCAACGAAAGTGAAATATCTTGGATTCGACCTTGCTACACAATTTCTGTAATAAACTTACCCCTCGTAAAATAAAGTCAAATTTATTGACGTTTTAAAGAACATATCAGAAAAGTTTCAACAAAATAAAATCATGACTATAAATACCAAGATTTTACAATTGAAGACAGAAATAACATGTCATAGAATTTTTCAGTTATCATAAGCAATATCTGTGATTATTCCTTCCAACTTAAACATTATAACAACCAATTAAAATGAATCTTTAAAAGACAGACGTCATTCTTGTGATTACAGACTACAATAAGTAAAATCTTGGTACACTTCTCGATGCGATCATTCTAACACAACTAACCGGTTTATTACTCCTTGTACATCTGACTCTCGTCACCTCTCCTTCTTCTTTATCATCAATTACCCTCTCTAACATTTCATCTTTAAAATCGAATCCATCGTCGACCGTTTTATCTTCCGCGCTTGACGACGTACCGGTCTCTTCGCTTGGTTTTGTCTGTTCCTTGTTGTCATCCGTCCATTTGTGTTTGTAGAGGGCACGACGTTTCTTCGGGACACCATCGTCTATCAGCGTGCGACTTTTAAAGATGCTGCCCTTTTTCTTGGAGATGACGAGCTTCACCGGGGGTGTCAACTCAGGTGGTTTTTCTAGGATTTTATCGAGGATTTCAGATTTGTGCTCTTCTATCTGGTTCATCTGCAAATGTTATTAAAACTTATTAACTTATCACTAAAAGCATTAAATTAAAACAGTTATAGTTGTATTAAACAGTTACTATAAAACAAATACCGCAAGAGAAACAAAAAAATTCAGATTCTCTTTGACGATGCTCCAAAAAATCTCTATATTAGGTCTTAATACAATAATTTAAAAAAGAAACCATTATTGGACGCATGCCATTACGATGCCTTTATGCTTGCAATACTATAAAAAAAAATTCTGAATTGCTGAGATGAATTTATATAGACGAACTCTCATTGCCGATAAATTTAGAAAGTCAGATAAATGTAGAAGAGCCATCAGTGTCATCAATGTGTGTTTATGATTTAATTTAATGTTGGTTATGTTATTTTAAACATTAAGAAGATATTAAATGTTTGATAGAAACAGTAAAAAAAAATCAGTAACAAACATTTCAATTTCTACAATAATTATAGGTTAATTGTGAAAGTACCTATTTTTGCAAACTTTAAAAAATTACAAAAATATACAACTTTGCTAGTTTACCTTAAAGTTAGGATCTGGCAATATCTGCTTAACTTCCATTTCAGGTGATGTACTATTTGAATCACTGTCCGTACTCCATTCTTCTTCGATTGCAGCCTGTTTACTTCTGAGTTTGACCACTGGTTCGGGTTCTTCAAGTTCTTCGAGTTCTTCAAGTTCTTCGAGTTCTTCAAGCTCTTCAAGTTCTTCGGGCTCTTCAGGTTCTTCAGGCTCATCAAGCTCTTCAAGTTCTTCTGGTTCTTCAGGTTCCGTAGGTACCGCGATATCGATACCATTTTCTTCTGCATCCATTTCGTCCCCTTCCTCAATGTCTTCGTCCTCTTCTTCTTCTTCGTCAGGGGGAGGAGGATTTTCTTTGACATCTGCTGTTACAATTGGGGTTGTGTCTATTTCCATATCTACTTCGCTCCTATCTTCTTCACCTTTTTAATAGATAAAATAAATTTAATTAACACTAGTACCTAAAATTGGTAGAATATCATTTTAATATTGGAATTGGAAACTCATAGTGGATTAGTCTAATGTTGACATATTATCTTGATGATGACTACATGACTCTTTATTACCACGTTTTACTCAATTGGTTCAATTTTTAGGAAAATACATGATATACTAACTTTAATGAATAAACAAACTGATCAGGTAAAACAACAATTGAACCACAAAAATTATTTCTAAATTAGGCCATGGCCGACCAAGACAAAGTTACGAGTCATTTCCGTGATAAAAACGTACGCCACCGAATTAAATCCAAACTGACAATTAAATAGACAAGACAAGATCAACAAGATAAATCGAAACTGACAATTAAAAAGACAAGACAAGATCAACAAGATAAATCCAAACTGACAATTAAAAAGACAAGACAAGATCAACTCATATTTGATTGGCTACGCTAGTGTGGCAAAACAAAATCCAAAAAATATGCTGCACACAATAAATACTTTTCAGTACAGCATATTAACGTACTATGGCACAAGCAATAAAATGAGCTTATCATCCGGAATTAATATCAATATCAGCAACTGCAATAATTGTATTATAAACATTTCTTCTTACCATAACTTTTTGTTTTATTACTAGTGACTGGTCATTTCATCACTAGTTAGCAAATATTTAATTTTTTGCAACTAACGAAAAATAAGTGGTCACATTACTGTCCGAATCGATAAGTCTCATTTTTTATGTCAACATTAGAAAAAAAGACTTATGTTAAGAATGTAATACTCTATAATACTTCATTATTAAATTCATGTGCCTGTTAGTTTAATAAAATACTTTAATGTAACCATAAATTGAATATATAATAACAATATATTATTATGTAGACTTTTAAAAATAATAATTACACCTATCAACAAATAATATTAATGGAATAAGACAAATGTAAAATTAAAATAGCTACACCTACTTCAATTAATTTATTTTAAGCACTATGTTCAGCTTTAACTACGTTTGCTAAAATCACATTCTCGTTAGGAAATTTATTGATTTAACACTATCTAAACCATAGATTTGTCGAAATAGATAAAAAATAAAGATAAATGATTACAACTTACTATAAAGATTTTTAATATCTAGGTTTTAATTTCGGAACTAAAATATTGTATATATTTTTTAAAATATGTATAAGGCAGAAAATAATGTAAAGTGATTTTATAGAAGATAGCACAATATAATCAAATTATTTGGAGATATTTAAGGAAGACTGAACATTTTTTCCAATTAAATGAAGCACCCTTTTGTTTTCATTTAAATGAAAACAAAAGTAGTGGAAGGCGATGAGATCATCCAACTCATTTTCAAAATAACCTAACCTATAGTTAAAAGTGAATCATTTACTTTTAATGGATTTATATAAAAATGTAGTTTTGCTGCTTTTCAACAAAAAGGACTGCGCGAGACTTTACACATGAATTTTTTAAAAAGTGGGGTAAATTTCCCAAAGGAATGGTGATTTGGGGCTGCATGAGTTAGGCTGGTTTGAATACTACGAAATATGAGTTCATGATTGTGTACTGAGATGGTTACATAGCATTATTTCTGACAGAATTTAATGTGTTTGGATTAATGTTTTATTTCACGGTCCATAAATGTTTCTTCAGGGGACCATAAGGTCACACTGTGGTTCTATCTAATTTGATTTGTTTATTACTGACATTGGTAAGGTTTTGAAAGGAGTGGATTATCTTTTGTTTTCAGATGATTTAAAACTTTTTAACCCTTTCAATGCTGATGGCACGGTTCCGTGACGCCGAAGTTTATTACCGGACGCTCGTGTCACGGATCCGTGTCGCTCGTATTCCGTCTGTATTTTGATTAGTACGAAGCCAGCGTTGAGTTAGAGAACATCATGCGTGGAGTAGCGTGTAGCAAAAGTACCCGGGCGTCCAAAAACATGATTCGTTCCGCATTTTTTTTCACAAGTCAGCCAAAATGGACGCTAATGAAGTCGGTCCGTCTGGGGCGAAAAAAAAAGCTAAAACAACAAGAAAACAACAGAAGTGGCTTACAGATGAAGATCTATTGGCCATTATAGAGGGTCGTTTGGCTATTTCAGTTTTCTAGTGAATTTATTTATATACGTTTTTTTTTTCTGTTGTTTTTTATTAAGACAAATCTTTTGTCTATTACTTTTAGTTTTCTAATGAATTCGTATGTTTGGTAATTATTATTAAGTGTTTTTTTAAGGTTTTGTTTTATTTTAGATTAAATTCGGGGTCGTAGAGCCCGAAAAACTTCACGTCACGGATCCATGATGCTCAGCACTGAATGACAAATCTTGTCGTCCCACGCGCATGGTACTGATCCGTGACATGTGTCAAAAATGACATAAAAACATAACAATCATTAATGGTGCGTTTGATTTGATCATCGAAGATCTCCGAGCGCTGCAAAAATGTTTGAATTGACACTCCGAGCGATCCCAAAAGTGTTTGTTTCGCTTTGAAGCGAGAACATAGAGCGAGCTCGATGTTCTCGGAGCAGAAAGATCGAGAACAGGGAGAAATGTGTCTTTGTCTCACCTATCTCTTTTTAATTAACCTACAATCAAATTTAAATCTCAACATTCGAGACCAAACAAGAAGTCACCAAATTACTTATTACTTAGCCGCTTTTGTCTTATAGCTAAAATTATTTATCATAAAAAAATAAAATAAAATTTTGAACGGATTAATGAAACATACAAAATTATTAACAAATTAATATCAGAAAAGGACTGCGTTTGCCTCATTAAAAATTCCAGAGCACGATTTGCTGCTTTACAAGTATTCTCAATATGCGTAGAAAATGATAATTTAGAATTGTATGTTACCTATAGATTCTTAACTTGAAAGCACTTTTTTAACGACACACTATTCATTTGATTGTCAAATATAATTATTGGTTGCCTTTGTCGGGTAATAGTCATATAACAACATTTGTTAATGTTAAATTCCAATTTACATTTTTAACTCCATTCATATATAGCATTTATATCTTTTTGCAAAGAAACCCAATCACGTACTGTTTGAATTTGTTTATAAACTTTAAAATCATTAGCAAAAAGTAAGCACCTCGAGTATTTAATCACTTTTGGCAAATCATTGACAAATGACAGAAACAATAATGGGCCTAAATTGGAATCTTGTGGAACTCCGGAATCTGCTAGAAGAATTACCATTGTCTAATCAAAAAGTATCTATTTTTCAAATAATCCCTAATATGCATTAATATATTATTTGTCAATCCAAATTGACTGATCTTTTCTAATAAATTATCATGATCTACCAGATCAAACGCCTTACTAAAGTCAGTAAAAATTGTATCTAGTGCATCATTTGCATAATTTGTAAAAATAAATAAATTAGAATTAATTGATCTTCCAGCCACAAATCCATGCTGCTCCTCAGCAATTATTCTATTTGCTACGAAATTATATAATTTCTTGTAAATTATTTGCTCGTATAATTTAGAAGGAGCACACATAACAGAAACTGACCTATAATTTTCAATATTCCTTGTACTACCCGAATTAGGAATTGGAGTACAAATGGCCGTTTTCCACAGATTAGGGAAAGTAGAAAATTTTAAAATAATATAATATATGAAGCAGTGGCAATTTTAAACCCTTATGACAACCTTTTAAGGTATATGAAGGTATGCCGTCTGTGCTTGCAGTCTTTTTTGGTTCTAATTTTTTGACACCTGCTAGATAATCATCATCACTTATTAAATTTAACATGAAAACTTTTTTCTCCAATTTTTCGATGCCCTTCAAATAATACGATTTCTCGAAGTCCTTAAAATAGGTCTCTGTCGCAGCGACTCAAATCTCTTACCACCGAGCCATTTTTTCAAGTCTGGAAACAGATAATAGTCGCTGGGCGCCAAATCTGGGTAGTATGGCAGATGAGGAACCAATTCGTAACGCAATTCATACAGTTTTGCCATTGCGACTGCACATTTGAGCGCCGGTGCGTTGTACTGGTGGAAGAGCACTTTCTTCTTCACTAAATGCGGTCGTTTTTGCTTTAAATCGTCGTCGAATCGGTCCAACAGCTTTGAGTAATAATCGCCGGTGATGTTTTTGCCCTTTTCAAGGTAATCGATATGAATAATACAGTGCGCATCCAAAAAACTGTGGCCATGGCCTTGTTGGCAGACAGACCCACCTTGGCTTTCTTTGGCTTCGACTCGCCCTGAGAAACCCACTGCTTTGACTGTTCCTTCGTCTCTGACGTATTGTGATGAATCCATGTTTCACCGCAGGCACGCGGCACCCATCTGGCAGCGAGCTTCGTCATTCTCAAATATTTGTGCAATATATTCTCCACACGTTCACGTAAGATGCCCACAGCCTCAGCAATCTCACACACTCTTACCCGTCGATCGTCAATTACCATACCATGGATTTTATCGACATTTCTGGTGTGGTGATCTCTCTTGGACGGCCAGGACGCTCATCATCAAAAATTATCGTACGACCGCGTTTATATTCGGCAGTCGATTTTATTGTTGATAACGAAGGTGCAGAGTCCCCATACACATCATCCAGTTCGATTTTGATCTTATCGTTCGTTTTCGTTTTTAAAAACAAGAATCTAATCACTGCGCGATATTCGATTCTATTCATTTTTGTAAAAATGCAAAATCTGTTTGCCTTCAATCACTGTCAAGTACAAACTAAGTGACGCAGCTCGCTGAAAATTTGACAGAAGTCACTTGAAAGATAGTTTTTACGAAAAACAATTGTATTTGTTCCTAGCGCCGCCAACTCTTGCCGAGGCCGATTATTTCCCAGCCCAGCCTCATATGTAATAGCAAAAAATTTAGTAGTTGCCCGCGGATGAATTTCTTTATTATTAAGAATAAACTTGTCACTGTTCGCACTCCCACTTCTCTTTTTGTTGACATAAGCCCAAAAATTATTTAGGTCTACTTTCGAATCTTCCTCTATATTTTTAATGTATTTTTTTATACTCGGATCTAATTGGTGATTTTAATTTTCTTCTTATTTCCATGCATTGTTGCTTATGAAAATCAGGAATATGTTTTAAACTAAATTTGCTTTTTTCCTTTATAAGTCGTTTAATTTCCCTATTATACCATATTGGATACTTATTATAGTGTTTATGTAGCCTGAATGTTGGTACACAATTAGAAAATATATTATTTAAAGTACTATAAAATTTATTTAAAGCATCATTGACATTGGTTTCCGCGCACACTTCACCCCAATCAGTATCCCTAATACACTCATATATTATGGTTTCTTACGCCTATTCATTGGTATTTTGTTTGTAGTTTTTGACTAATGTGGGTTAGTTCGCTATGCTTTCGGTTCCTGGTTTGGACCTTCTTCAGTACTTTCTAAGATTTTTTATTTAATTAATATCATTTATATATTTTTTAAATGTTTTAATCATTTATGCTTAACTTGTTATTAAAACAATTTGCACAAATTGTTGGAATCTTTTATTTAGAAAATGATGACAATATTATTAGTAATACCAATAGACATGCCACTGAAATTCATCTTAAGATATGTGGTTTTATTTGGTTAAACGCATAAATATAAAATATAACTCGTGATTATGGTATAAGGGTAATAGTATATTTATTCAACTATGCGTGGATTTAAACTACAAACCAGAAATTTTAAATATAACTTACCACCATTCTCCTCGGTCTCTTCGTTATCCTCCTTACTAGCTTCGGCGAGGCTAGCAGCGCCATCTGGCGATGAATTATTAGCTCTGTTATCGAAATTCGTGAACTCATCGTTGGACTGCGTGTTCGTCTCCTTGGGCGAACTGGGTCTAAGTAAGTTATCGTACATAGCTTTACGCTCCAATTCGTATTTTTCGGCTGGGATGTATTGAGGAGAGAGATCGCTGTCGTTCTTCGGGCTGGTGAAGAGGGAAAATTCTGCGGGAGTGTCAGCTGCGGCTGGGGAACTACTGGGATGGTCTTGTTGCATACTGCGTCTTGCTGATCTGTAAAGATGTAAAAAAAAATATATGGATAGATGTTTCAAACGAGATTTTCATTAGTTTTTTGGCGTCATAAATAATTATAAGTGATGGTTTAGATTAATTGTGATTCCTCTAAGAGCTATGTGAAAAGTCACTTAGCTCGTCCCTTCCATTATATTGGTTTAAGAGGGTAAATACAAAATATTAGAATATCGCGGCAAGCGTTGAATCTGATTTTTTCAACCTTTACGGACTAATTATAAATTGAATATCAATTATGAAAAAATATGTGCAATAATGTGAAATAATTATTTTTAGCAGATAAATTTAGAAAACATATTTTTGAAAAGCCCAGAAAAATTTGTATTCAAATAATTTTTAACCTACTGTACTAAAGTAATTTTTAACTAACATTAAAATATTCGATTTGACATTTTTTATAATTGGTAATAAACTTGTAGCTCTGATAAGAAAACTATTAATAAAATTAATAAAAAAAAAACTTTTCTATCAATTTAAAAAAGCTGTAAAACTAAGATAAAATGATTTAGTATGTACTACTCGTAATTACTGTAAAATAAATTGTGTTGTTCATTGTAAAAGTGAATTATATTTCATTGTAATTGCATTTTGAAACAGGCTTTTTGCAAAATGATATACAGAAAAAAGAAACTATTTACGGACGGGGTATCCTTTGGATTTTTGAACGATTTTACGTCAAATTAGATTCCAGGACGTGGCGGTATTTACTGGCAAGAGATAAAATTAGTGTTAGTAATTACAGAAATCATTAATAACTGTAAAAATTGATCTATTGGGTATTAGGGGGTATTGAGGTATTGTTAACCGGTTTTTAGTAGACTGGTGAGAGAGACGAAGGGATAAAATAGACCAGAACATAAAATCAATTTTCATTGATTGCCAGAATTTTATCAAATAAAAATAATAATTTCGGGAATTATGGAAGCGAGCTAATCGTTTTATAAACTGTTTTATAAAATTATAAACTCTATTACTTATTTTGGAGTATTTCGTGTACTTTATATTAATACCTTTTTATATTTCCTTTTGAGGTAGTTCACTCGTAAAAGGGCTTTTCTGAAGAATTAAATAAAATTGAAATATAAGGTCAATGAAAGTGTCTTACACTTATACTCTTAAAGCCTGTCATGTACACAAGCAATTCATTTATTTCAAGATATTTCGAAAACGGTTCTTACCATAGAAAAATAAAAAGAGAAGGTTTGAATAAATGGAGGGATTTGTTTCCTTGTTGGTAGTTGAACCGTAAGCGCTTAGCGCGCTGCTATCACTAAATTCAAACCCGTTTTAGACCCATAAAAAATATGTTTTCAAAAATAATGACAAAGAAATCAATAATTTTACTGATTTACCCCTTTAAATTTCACTTTGCTATAATGTGTGATCAAATACAGGGATAATCGTTAATAAATTTAAAGTTAAAGCTAAATTTAAATATTATTAGGTGGTGTAAATCTGGCTTTGAAAATAAATTAGGTTATGTTGCTATAAATATGTCAGCCTAATATTATTTTCATTTTCAAATGCAGGTGATATTTTTTTCAAATGTAGGTGAGTAAATTGTATTAATTAAGTGTAAGTTAGATTTAACTAATTTAACTATAGGCAGGTTCTTAAGAAAATCATTAACTTCTGATTCATTTAAATTTTAATTGCAGAAGTAAGTATTTTTCTCACAAAACTAACAAGAACGTTTATGTTTTTCCTGCTATTATTATTCTAGAGATAAATGGATCCACATTTTAAACATTTGCGGTAAAAAAAATGAAAGGAGTTGTGAGCGAAATGTGTGAAGCCAATTTACAAATAAATATTGTAGAACCCGAGATAGAACCTCATCTTAGTTTTACTCATAAAGACCATGATGAAAAAAGGCGAATGATTTGTGCTCAAAAATTTATTGTTCAATTTTTGGGTGATATTCATTATTATATTTATCAAATAATACCCAAATATGTTCAATAACTTATATGCTATTTAGGTCAACATGTTAATTTTTGCATAGTTCATCTATTAAGATCATAAATCAGATATTTTCAATTATTATTGAAATTTTAATACCTTTTATTGCAAGAAAAATGTAAGAATTTAAAAAGGTTATGACTCGTGTTTATTTTTAATTTTAAGATACACACTGCACCTTTATTTTTGTTTTGTTTTAGATATTCCCTGGTATGGAGATTTTTGGAATGTGCATAAATGTGTTTCTTAATTAGGGTGAGTTTCAAAGCCCACCTGTATTGAAGCTGGAGGCTTATTGTAACCGAAATAGGCATTACAACTATTCTAGATTGAAATAGATGGAAAAAGGCCTTAAAGGGACAATAAGTATAAGAATATTAGAATTAGAATGATTTGTCCTTGGATTAATAAGGGATATTTAAAACATTAAAACAATTGTGATTATAAATTAACTACTTTGACTTTTTATAAAAACTATATCCGGTTTTTTTAATAATAAAAACATTGTCATGTGCTATGCTGGTTATCATATTATATTTTTATTTTTCAGTAATTTAGTGTGTGATATAGTGCTTGTTATGTTCAAAATATGCAGTTAGAAGATAATGAGACACATGTAATTACATGGTAATTTAAATAAATTAAACTTGTTAAAAATGTGTTTTATTTTTCAACTAATTTTATTTTTCAGTTAAAACAAGTGACATTTTCCATTTTTCAACATTTACCTACAACAAAAATTCACTAAACTTATTGTTTGTTTAGTAGTTGTAAGTAAAAGTTGTCAAATAGGAAAATGTTACTTTAAATTGCTTCAAATATCTAAATTATCAAGCCCGCCAATTTTTAAATCGCTTTAATTAGTAGTGTTCTACTTTATCGACTGAAACTGACAGGTGTAGTTCAACCGTAAGCGCTTAGCGCGCTACTGTCGAGGTCAAGCAAACTTGTTACCAACTATTTACATGGAATCCGACCTCCGTGGTTCTTACTATTTATTTAAAAACTAATGTAATGTAAATCATAAAAACGCTGAATTTTTTGACCGTTTTGTAAAAAGATCTAGATTTTTAAAGCAATCGAGTAGAATGATTACAACTTGGCAACATTATAATCGCTACACTTAACGCGCGGTAACTCAAATGTCTGTTAGATTACTTTAGGCTTGTTTTGGTTCTTTTGTAAACTAGTTCAGAATCATTGAATTACACTCGATCAGCTAAGAGGTTGTTATAACCTCGCGACGTGCTCTTGATAAATTAATTCGTCCACTGTATTTGAGAACTGGAATCGACGGTTCTGTTTCAACCAAAACAAATCCTTTGTAAGTATTAACGTAATGTAGGGTTAAGAAATGATCCAAATACATTATTACGTAATTTCATTAATAGTTTAAATTAGAATAACAAAGAAAATAAAAACATTTTTTAATTATTAAAATATCTCAGTGACGTCGTTTTACATTACTCTGTTTTTAAACTAGGAGGAGCAATATGGTCAAATAATTATTCTATTAGATCTGGAGCCAGAACAGTTTTGTTATTATATTTATTTTTATTTGAAATACTTTTAATATTTCTCCATACTGAAGATATTGGAGTATTTTTGTTTAGTTTATTGCACCTCCATTTGTTGATCCAAGTTTTATACCTCAACTGGTAAACAATAGGGAATTGGGAAATAAAAATAACCTTTATTCAAAAATAACTTTAACTGAACTAGAAGTAGCAATTAAAACCACTTGTAACACAGCCCCTGGAAAAAATAGCTTTTCTTATTCTTTGATTAGAAATTTACCAGACAATTCAAAAAGTACCTTAGTTGAAATTTATAATCAATGGTGGTTACAAGGAATTCTTTCTGAATCTTTTAAGGAAGTGGTAATTATATTTATTCTTAAGCCTATGAGAGACCCTAGCGATCCATCGTCTCACCGCCCGATTTCTCTGTTATCTTGTTTTGCTAAAACTTGTGAAAGAGTTATTACACGTTGTTTAGAATGGTATTTTAAACATAACTCTCTGTTACCTAGTTCACAGTACGGATTCCGTAAGTCTAAAGGTACTTTAGACGCTTGTACTCAGTTAATGATTTTCAGTATTCATTCTCAAAAAATGAATACACAGCATGTATTTTTTTAGGGAAATAGTCGCTGATATTTGGTCTAGGGAGATAGTCAAGTAAACTTTATTTATTAGAAAATAAACCATTATAAAACTGTTAATTAACATTTAAAATACCATCTAGGTATTACATTAGAGATAACCTTAAGTTAGCATAATGAGCTAACAATACTTTTTTGAACACGACTATATTTCGGAACACGTTCTTAGTAACGAATCTAGTTACTTTTCCCTGTGTAAATACGTTGTTTCAATTCGCTTCTCCTAATTTAAAAACAGAGAATAGACCACTAAAAAAATTAGTATGAGGAAGTCACAAATTTCTATAGGTATACACACGCACTTGATAGCGCACCATTCATGCGAGTCATGCGACGTTGCCGGATGGATTTTACTTGAAATAATAATGTATCCGAATACATAAGCTTACATGTATTGTGTGCAGTCTCTTACAAAAATAACATTTTTTAGCATTGAGAATCTCGAACTTTTAGTATTCACCATTAGGAGATATTTTTGTGTACGACTGCCGCGAGTAAACTACCTTAATAAAAATTTACTCGACTTCCTGGACTAAGTTTAAAATCATGTGAAAAAAATCAATGACTAGTCTTCATATATTATATATAATTTGGCTCATTATTACGAGGGGATGGGCTATAATTTCAAGTCAAGAATATTATTAATTGTGATTTATTGGTTAAAATCCGAAGTGTTCTGTCATTTGAATATTCCTGCAGGTACTTACTTAATGCTTTAGAGCGGGTTGTACAATAGACAGTTAAAATGTAATATTGGTTTAAACTGTAAACCTTGTTGTATAATCATCGGTTATTGTTAAACATCGTTTTAAAAATGACATTTGTACATAAATATAACCAGTTAAAAATAAAA